AAGGGCAGGCAGGCAGGTGTGAGCGTGAGTGTGAGTGGCTCCTCTCTGCCCCACAGCCCACTGCCCCGGGGCAAGCGGAGGGCCATGGAGGCGCAGATGCAGTCGGAAGCACTGTCACTTCTCAGCAACCTGGCCGACCTGGCCAACGCTGTGCACTGGCTGCCCCGGGGCGTGCTGTGGGCCGGCCGCTTCCCGCCATGGCTGGTGGGCCTCATGGGCACCATCTCCTCGATCCTCAGCATGTACCAGGCGGCCCGGGCCGGCGGCCAGGCCGAGGCCACTACCCCCTGACACTGCCAGAAGAGCACAGGGACGCAGCCGGAGCCCACGGAGGGCCCTTCCTGCAAAGCAGAAGCCAGCAGGGCAGGGGCCGGGGCTCTCAAGGAGCTGCCTGTGGCAAAACCCATGGGCAGGGTGGGTGGAGGGACTGATGCGAGGTCTCGCGGGCCTCAGCCCTGAGCTCCTGAGCCGGAGTTTTCAGGGGCTGCGGGGGGCTTCAGCGGCACCTCCTGCCTGCCAGCTGGAGTCTTGTATCCAAATCAAGATGAGGAGGAGGGAGCCTGTCGTGCCTTGGGAAAGCTGGAACGGGAATCAATTAAACATTGTGGTGCTGGCGCCTGGCTCAGGGTGAAGGTTATTACACTGGTGGCTCCTGGCCCCTTCCCCTCCATGGGATGGAGCCACAGTTGGAAACCACACTTCCCCAGCCCACCTTCAGGAATGCCCTCGGCCCGGTGGGTCCTCTCCATCTTTGAGCAAGCGTTGCCTATGGACCCCAAGTGGCCTCCAGCCATTGAGGGCTGTTCTCTACTCCCCAGAGTCCTGGGCACATGGGCCAGAGGTACCACCTCCGGTCAGGCCACCTGAGGGCATGGCCTCATGCCACTGTGCTGCAGACGCAGGGTCACTGTGAGCGTTTTGAGGGCTCCATGCTGAGACTGGGCAACACACACCAGCATCGCTGAAGACACGTGGGGCCGCCACGTCAGCCAGTGTGTGGTGGGATGGGATGAGGGTACTTCTTAGTCTGCTGGCTGAGAACGGCACTTCAGAGCCCGTGCACATGTGGCTTCTGGCAGACATTGGTGCACAGCCTGGCCCAGGAATACGCAATAGTCAGTACGTGCGCCCTCGGGCCTCGTGATGTCAATTGCACTGCCTTGATTTTTGTCTTTTTGACACAGGATCTCACTCTGTCACCCAGGCTGGAGTGCAGTGGTGCGATCATAACCTCACTGCAGCCTTGAACTTCTGGGCTCAAGGGATCCTCCTACCTCAGCCTCCTGAATAGCAGGAATTACAGGCATTTATCACCACGCCCAGCTAATTTTTAATTGTTTTGTAAAGACGGGGTCTCGCCATATTGCCCAGGTTAGTCTTGAACTGGCTTCAAGCTATCTGCCTGCCTCGGCCTCCCAGAGTACATTTGTGGTTTGTTTTGTTTTTACAAGGAAGACACCAGGTGGCTCTGAGCAGCTGGGAGGCCGGGGACTGCTCAGGATCAAATGGGTGCAGGAGATCCCATCTGTGGGGCTCCTTCTGCCCAGGACTCACGAGTGGGCCGGGCTTGGTGGGTTCCCCCTTCTCTCCCTTGTCGGGGGTGCAGGCCTGTCCGGGCCCTCAGCAAAGGCCACCTTCCTAGCCCCTAGCGGCACCTGCATGATGAGGACATCTCATTATCTACCTGGAGACCCAATTACTTTCCCAGCTACTTGGGAGGCTGAGGCAGGATAATCGCTTGAACCCGGGAGGCGGAGGTTGCAGTGAGTCAAGATAGCATGCCACTGCACTCCAGCCTGGGTGACAGAGCAAGACTCCATCTCAAAAATAAGTAAAAATGAAATAGTAAATTAATTTCATCCTTTTTCTTTTTTCTTTTTTTTTTTTGAGACAAAGTCTCACTCTTGTCCCCCAGGATGGAGTGCAGTGGCGCAATCTCGGCTCACTGCAACCTCCGCCTCCGGGTTCAAGCGATTCTCTTGCCTCAGCCTCTGGAGTAGCTGGGATTACAGGCGTTTGCCACCATGCCCGGCTGATTTTTGTGTTTTTAGTAGAGATGGGGTTTCACCACATTGGCTAGGCTGGTCTCGAACTCCTGACCTCAGGTGATCCTCCCGCCTCGGCCTCCCAAAGTGCTGGGGTTATAGGCATGGGCCACCGCGCCCGGCCCTTTTTCTTTTTTTTTTTAAATTTCACTTCTTTTTTCAATCCCCAAAATTCCTTTTTTTTTTTTTTTTTTTTTTTTTTAAGCTCTTAGAGATAGCGTCTCACCATGTTGCCCAGGCCGGAGTGCAGTGGCACGATCATAGCTCACTGCAACTTCGAACCCCTAGGCTCAAGCAATCCTCCTGCCTCAGCCTCCTGTGTAGCTGGGACTACAGGTGCATGCCACCATACCTGGCTAATTTTTTAATTTTGTGGAGAAGGGGTTTCACTATGTTGCCCAGGCTGGTCTCGAACTCCTGGGCTCAAGTGACCTTCCTGCCTCAGCCCCCGCCCCAACAAAATGCTGGGATTACAGGGATGAACCACTGTGCCCGGCCCTCCTTTTACTTTTTTAATATGGCTACTAAAAATGAAAAATTCCACACGTGGCCTGCATCATCTTCCTGGTGGAGAGTGCTGCCTGAGAGTTCCCATTTTGCACTTCCTAGTGACCTAGTGATTGACTTTACACCTAGTCACCTCGTGACGGGAAACCCTCTGTTGAAACAGCAGTGTCCTTGCCTCACTGGAACTCAGACCAGGTGGAAATGATGAGTTCACACTCATAGCCAAGCTGCCTCTCACACCAGATGGAGGAACTGAAAGTTACACTCTTGGGGGTTATTTTGGATTAAAAGCAAGAAGATTTTTGTGGAGGCGCCACAAAAGCCTGAAGTGTACCCGGTGGGCAGGACCCTCCACAGGCACCTCCACGCCCCATTCCTGCCTCTTGTCCATAATCCCAGGGCTTTGGGAGGCTGAGGTGGGCAGATCACTTGAGGTCAGGAGTTCGAGACCAGCCTGGCCAAAATGGTGAAACCCCATGTCTACTAAAATAATACAAAAATTAGCTGGGTGTGGTGGCGTGTACCTGTAATCCCAGCTACCCGGGAGGCAGAGGTTGCAGTGAGCTGAGATCCTGTCACTGGTCTCCAGCCTGGGTGACAGAGCGAGACTCCGTCCCTCAAAAAAAAAAGCAGAAACAAAAACAAAAAAGAACCCCCAACAACTCTGTGCCTGAAGGGGCCTTCAGAATATTAAGCAGGACACGGAGGGCAGGGGGGCGAGGTGAGGTGCAGGAGCCATGGGAAGCCCTCACCAGAACCTGCTACTCCTGCAGCGATGTTTGGGCAGAAGAAAATCCTAAAACAAAACCCCCAAGAACGTGCACGCCAGTCACTGCTCATCTTGGACACGTTTATTGCTAGAATCAGGTCTTAAGTTCTAAAGCAGGTCAGAAATATCCCGTGGTGAGGAAATGTTGTAATCATTGTAAAAATAATTAGCAGGTGACTAAGATCACGATCACGACTGACAAAGACGTGTGCAGATCCCACGAAAATACGAACATGTGCTCGACTGTCAACTTTACAAATAAAATCGGGCTCCAACCCAAGAGTGGCCGAGGGGCACTGGTGAGGGAAGGGCTGTCAATGCCGCCGCCCCATGCCTAGCACAACTGAGACCCCTCGGCCATGTGGCGGGGACGCAGGGTTCCCACCGAGTGGCCGAGCAGAAATTCCTTGAACTTCTCCCCCATCCAAGGAATTGTGGCGTCTCGGAGGGCTGGACCGGCACATGCTGGCTCAGGAGGGTGCGAGGGTCTGGGAATGTTCTCTTCACAACAGAACAGGAATGTACAGTCAGCTTTTGTAAAGTGCTCCGATACTCAGTACAAAAATACAAAACACTGATGATAAACATGGCACACATGGGATCCGACGGGGGGCGGAGAGCATCGCTGATGGCCAACGACTGGGCTGGGTGGAGTCAAGGTCCTCGGAGGGGCCAGGCGTCTTGGGACGCCTGGCCACTCACTGTGTTCTCAGGACCTTGTCACCAATGGGCTGTATGGCTGTGGGGCTCTGGTCCTGGTTGGCACCAGCTCCTGCTCTGTCCCCTCCTGAGCCCACAGCACCCAGTGGGCGCGTCTGCCCAGGGGAGCACTTCCTGATGGAGTTTCCCATCCCCTGTGCCCGTCTGTCCCCGAGTGGCGGGGATGTCCCTATTCACTGTATTCAGGGTCACAGGAGCGCGTCTGCCAGCACAGTGGGAGAAGGGCTGAATCCCCCCGGGATCTGCGGTTCCCAGGACCCTGGGTTCCGAAGAAGGACTTGGCCCTGGCGGGGACTCACGTGTACCCCACTGGGAACAAGGATGACCAGCCAGGACCCAGTCCTGCCACTAATGCTTGGGGTGCAGAACAAGGCTTGAAATGTGTCCCGTTCTCCACCGGAGCTGGATCATGGCTGGATCTCACCGTCCTGGGATCGCCACCATGGGACGTCCCAGCACCTTCGACACTGCCCAACACTTCTTCCTCCATCCTCCAGGGGAGGGGCCATAAGCTGCAACAGCTCACTACAAGCGAGGGGCCTGCACAGCGGCCACTTGGCCACTCGCTGCAACGTCTCTAGGTGCTTCCTGCGCACGCCCCGGGATGTGGCACTCTCAACAGTCTGTGATGTGCCAGCCCTGCCTGGAAGGTGGGATGCCAGCCCCAGGAGCTCATTTCCCGGGGGCTGAGGACCCTGCGTCCGGGGTGTGTATGCGCCCTGACTGAAGCTAGAGACCCGGCTGCCCAGACAGATGTAGCGTGTGAACAGCAATGGGTGACCTCGGGAAGCAGAGTTTGGGAAACAGCTGGTTTCAAAACCAATGCCAAGTAAAAAGGGGCAAAGGTCAGCCCCTTTCACAGTGGGCTTCCAAACCCACAGAACTGCCTGGAGGGCCACTGATGTCCCCTCAGTGGGCCCTGCCCCGTGGCCCTCTCTGCCCATGCCCCCGTGCCTGGCTCATTCCCTGGCCCTGAGGTTCACAGTGAACCTGCGTGAGTCTCTGCTTGGGAAGTGGATTCTGCCTGATTCTGGGGACAGATGCTGCCGACGCCACCTGGCTCCTCCTGGTGCCCTAACCCCTGACTCCAGTGTTGCGTGGTGGCCGTGGAGCGTGGCCCCGGCCGGCAGCTCCTTCTCAGAGCGAGGTCTGTGCTGTCCTCAGCTCCGTGCAGAGCCGGCACGCATTCCTCACTGCCTCAGAAAAACAGCGCGGAGTTGGTCTCCCCGCCACCAAGCATGGGCGCTATGATTTCAGACAGCTCCCTGGTTTAGTCCTGGCTCAACTTTCCATTAAAAACTTTCCTTTTGGAAAAAAAAAAAAAAAAAAAAGAGGTTCAGAAAGTGAACCCAGTCCACCACTGCTAATCCTACAGAAAGAGCTGCGAGGCCCAGAGCACCGATAGGCAGCCCCTGCCAGGCGGTCATCGGTGGTTTGCTAGGGAAGAGGAGGGGACAGCTGGGTGGCATGGTGACCCCATGGGGGTCCCCAGAGAGCAGGAAGGTTGGGCAGGGCAGGAGGGGGCTTGCCCCTTGAGTCACGGCCCTTTTAGAAGAAGATGACGTCTTCCTTGCTGGCGTCCTCTTTGGCGCTGAGTGGTGTGGCCGGCAGTGGCGAGGGACTGGGGCCCGGGCAGGAGGGCTGTGCCCCCGGCCTGAGAGAGAGCCCTCAGAGGGGCTGTCAGCTTGGTGGTGGGCTTGGGGCGGGGAAGCCAGGGTCTGGAACAGAGAGGGGGTCCAGACTGAGCAGTCGCCAGGTGGTGCCAAAGCTGCCAAGTGGACTGGGCTCATGTCAGCGGTGGGGGCTCACCTGGCGGATGGCGCGGGGCTGTGTCTGCTGGCAGATGGGGCTCAGCGAGGGCGGCGGTTCCGTGAGGTGCTTTCATCTTTCCCATGAACTTGTTGAGCAGCAGCTGCTGCTTCAGGTCGAAGGACGCTGGAAGAGGGAAGGCGCTCGGGCCAGCTCCAGGCTGCCTAGCTGTCCCCACTCCCTAGGGGCAGCCTCCCGAGAGCAGAGGGCCTGGCACCCCACCTGACAATTCCCACGCAGGCCTGGACCCCATGACCTGAGCTGCTCAGATGCTAGTAAGCCCCAATTCAGGGAGAATGGCCCCAGCCTCGCTGTGGAAGGACTGCAGAGTCACCTGGCATCTGGAGAGGAGTTTGAGCCTCCTGTGGAAACGGCACAGGCCCCCGTGGCCACGGACCACACTGATCTTCAGGGAATGTCTCAGAACATCCCGGTTGTCCCCAGGAGGGTGTCCCCCAGGGCAGCAGGGCCGGTCTCAGTGCCAGAAGGAGCCCTCTGGGCACCCTCCATGGAAACTGGGGCTGCTCTGGGCTCTGTGTCCCCCTCTGTGGAACAGCTCTGTGGAACGGGGACGATGAGCAGAGGCGCCTGCACCTGTCCGCCCCGGCGCTGTGCTGAATCCAGGTGGCCAGGCCGCTCTACCTTCTAGCCCGTGTCCCTAAGGTCCTGGTCCCCATCCCACTGTTTGAGGGTTGAGGGTGGGGAAACACACAGTGTATCATCTCAATTTTGGGCCTGGAGACCAAACATGGCCCTGTGTGGGGTGGCCTCAGCCATGATCCAGCTTGCCTTCTGGTTTTCCTCTCCGGAGGATGGCACAGGTGTCCCTGATTTCCTTGGCTCCCAGCGAGCCCCTAACAGCCTGCAGTTCCACAGGCTGCACCTTGCAGGCCCAGGCGAAGGGCGGGGCGCTCACCTGGACCCCCAGCGTCTTTGAGAGTCCACTGGCTCTTGCCCGCTCCTCTGGTCCTTGTCATCCCTGCGTGGGGCCGCCAGCCTTGGTGGGATCTGCTCTGCTGCACGCAGCCGCCTTGCCTCCTGGAAATGAGTTGGCTGCGCTGAGCAGCTGTGGTATGGGCCACATCGCTCTTGGCCAGCCGGCCTCTCGGTGGGGGGACTGTCGCCGGCGAGCCCACCTCAGGCGCTCTGAGTACTCTGGCCCCGACACCGGAACAGCCAGCATGCTCCACCCCCGAAGGCAGCCACCTCCCAGCCCCGCTTCCCCAGTATGAAGCTGGGAGGGTGGCCTTGGGGGCTGGGCCCTGGGGATAGGACCACAGCAGCATACATCCCAATGGCCAGGTTCCTGCTGTGTGGCCCCTGCTGGAGAGCCCGAGGGTCGTGCACAAGGAGACGGCCTCGACCTCCAATCTGTTCTTGGACAGGAGGCCCAGGTGGCAGCCTGAGGAGCTGGACTTGGTCATTGCCTGTCCCCCCATCCCATTAATGTGGGCATTACCTTGTGAACACTGAGATGGCAACCCATACTGTCCCATACTCATATACAAACACCTCACACATTCGTGTCCACGCCCATTCACACAACCCATGGTTTGTAGGTTTGTTTTCAGAGACACAGTCTTGCTCTGTCACCCAGGCTAGAGTGCAGTGGCGCAGTCACAGCCCTTGAGCCTCTTGGGCTCAAATGATCGCCCTGCCTCAGCCTCCCAAGTAGCTGGGATTACAGGTGTGTGCCACCATGCCCTGCTAATTTTTGTTATTTTTTTTTTTTAGAGACGAGGTCTCACTCCAGGGCCCAGGCTGGTCTCAAAGACCTGGCTTCAAGCAATCCTCTGGCCTCAGCCTCCGGAGTAGCTAGGGCACACACTATGGCACCCAATTTTTTTTTTTTTTTTTTTGCGCAGGCTGGAGTGCAGTGGCGTGATCACGGCTCATGGCAGCCTCAACCTCCCGGGCTCAAGGGATCCTCCCACCTTAGCATTCCAAGTAGCGGGGCCCACAGGTGCATGCCACCATGCCTAGCTCATTTTTGTATTTTTTTTGTAGAGCTGGAGTTTCGCCATATTGCCCAGGCTGGCCTGGAACGCCTGTGCTCAAGGAATCCACCCGTCTCCACCACCCAGAGTGGTGGGATTACAGGAGTGCATTTTTTTTTTTTTTTTAAAAGAAGTTTCTAACATTTATGGAATGTTTTGAGCAACAGTGTTCTGTTAAGCATTTAGCCAGCTCTGAGAAAGGTTCTGCATTGTGGCATGAGCTGTTAATGCCAGGGTATCTTGTGCCGTTTGCTCTTACACTCCTGCATGCGTGCACCTGCGAACCCTGTCATTTGCATGCACTCGTGCAAATGCACGCGCAAACCGGTCACCCCCACCTGCGCACACTGGCTGCTGAGCGCTCACCTCGGTCAGTGTGTCGGGCGGCAGTGCGCCTGGCGCGGTGTTCTGCTTCTTGAGGCGGCGCAGCAGCTCCAGGCGCTCCCGCTCGCGCTCCACTGCGCGCTGGGCCTCGCGCAGCCGCTCCAGGTCGTGCTGGTAGGCCTGGCGCTGGCGCTCCAGCTCGGCGCGCTCCTGCTCCAGCCGCTCGCGTAGCTGCCGCGCCTCGCCCTCGCGCTCCTGCAGCAGGGCGCCCGCACGCTCCAGCTCCTGTTGCTGCCGCTGGCGCTCACGCTCCCAACGCTGCTGGTCCTGCCGCAGCTGGCTCTGCAGCTTCTCCACGGCCGCGCGCTCCTCCCGCTGCTTCTCGAAGTTGCGCTGCCGCTCCTGCTCCAGCAGCAGGTTCCCACGCGTGGACTGCAGCCGGAACTGCTTCTCGCGCTCCAGGATGGCTGCCCGCTGCGTCTCTACATAGCTGTCCTGGTGGGTGATGACCGCCTGCGGAGGGCCAGGGCCAGGTGGGTGAGAGCCGCACCCGTGCCCCAGCCAACCAGGAAAGGGCACGTGTGGCCGGCCCCACCCCGCCCCTGTACCTGGAGGTTCAGGAGCAGCTGGGACAGTGTCTGGATCCGCTGGACAAGCTGCGGGGAGGAGAGGGAGATTGATGCCAGTTCTCGGGCCTGAGGCCACAGGCGCGTGTAAACGGCCCCGGGGAGATGGACAGCGGGCGCCTACCTCCAACTCCAGGACGGTGGGTAGAC